GTAATGCCCAGCACGGTGACTTTATTTAAAACTATATTGTACTATATAGTTACAATACTGTATTGTATGTTTGAAAGTCACCAACAGGGGATCTTCAAGTCCCCATCACAAGACCAAAAACTGGTAACTATGGATGGTGATGGAGTTAACGAGACGTAGCGTGGTGACCATTTCGTCACGTATACAAATATCAAATCATTATGTTGCACACCTGCAACTAACAGACTGCATGTGTCAATTATATGCGTCTTGCGGGTTCTTTCTACCTGGACCAAGGTGTGTGCAGGCAGCACCTGGGCTCCTGGAAAGCGGATGGAGGAGAAGACAGGGCTCAGAGGACGGACACCAGCAGACACCCAAGACCCCAGGAAGAAGGGATTGTGGGGAACACAACTGGGCGCCCCGGAAATACCCTCCAACTCCACTGCCCACCGCCCACTGGGGTCCCACGGGCTGGGCGTACCGTGTGAGTTTCCGTAGCCGTCATAACCGGAGTTGTAGCCGCCTCCCCCGCCGCCTCCTGTGAGAGAGAAAGTGAGTTGAGCGATGCCCTAGCGTGGGGCTCCAGCAGGTGACACCCAAGTCACCGGCGATGGCACCAACCTTACCCAAGAGCCACCCCAAAGCGTGCCCCGTAGGGTGGCGAGGAGCAAGGGGGCAGCGGGGGGACACTGAAGGGTGCCACCCCAAAGTCACAGCGCCTCAGGGGGGAAACTCATGTCCAGCTGGACCCCTATAGAAAGCTCTGTGCCTTCAGAGGACACCCCTGAGGGTCCCCAGCTAATGCAGGCGTGTCCCCTTTCTTCCGAGAAATCTGAGCGGGACCAGAGACCAAACACAGATTCTCCCCCGTGAGAAGGAAGTTCGGGCAGATGGCCCCAAGCATCAATGTTCTTTATTAAACGCTAGTCTTTTCATTTTTCGCCTGGTCATGCTGTAATAACCTTTATGACAAAGCTATTTATTTATCGCATCTAAGCATCGCCCAAAAGCCGAGTGGATGCAACCCGCCTCTGCAGACGACAGAGAGGCCCCTTGGCGAGGGGTGCGGGCAAGGTCTTGACCCCTTCTCCCATAAAATCGCAGAACTAAATAGAGGAGCCACCAAAACGTCGCATGTTATACCCTGGAGCTCAGAGCTGCGTGCATCAGTCTGCCTCGCAGGAGCCTGTACTTTTGTTTATGTAGGAAGGGATCTATGCAGGTGTTCACATTCCAGGTAGGAGAAAAATTACGTTACAAGTTGTACATATGTGCATATATATATATGTGTGTGTGTGTGTGTGTGTGTGTGTGTGTGTGTGTGTGTGTGTGTAGATATATATGCATATGGATAGATATACACATATAAAGGCACACATGGAGTATATGAGAGTACATATGTAATAAAGACATATATGCATAGATAAAGGTCTATATAAAGGTATAGAAGTTATATAAATACAGAGGGTGCCAAAANGAAAGCAGTACTAAAATAAAAAGCAAATAGCGACTCAAATGTTTCAGTGTCTGGGGGATACAAGGTTCTCTACTCCAACACACAGAAAAAGTCTAAACCAAGAAAAGCTGTGCATTTGCCTCCAGAACTGGCACCTACAGAGTATCAAAGACCAAAAATAACACGAAAAATCTCAACACCTTCAAACCGCGACGTCTGTCCCATAGTTTTCCAAAAACAAAAACAAAAACAAAAAACCATTGAAACCCTAAGAGTTCACAGGAAAAATGATCCCCAGGCTGACCGATTTGCCGAGACGGTTTTACCCCGAGCGATTCTGCACTTAAAATCCCCAACCCAGCCTTCCTTCCTGCAGGCGGTCGAAGGGTTGCACACAGATGCACGGGAGCTGCCGGTGATCAGCCTGTGTCGTGCATCCCTTGTGCTGACTTCCCTTGTAACGCTGGGCATTGTTTCTCATATTTCCCACACCCGTGAAGAACGGGGCACAGGTCAGGCTGCTCACCCCCGCTTGTTCGAAACCCCAGTGGCATCTTCCACCTCCCGGAGCAGACTCGTAACCCCTGCGTCCAAACGGACGATGGGGCCAACAGAGGGACAGAGGGGGCCACTGCTTTTGAGCACCGCAGGTCCAGCCGTGTAACTTATCTTTCAAAACGTGCAC